TATCTTTTTGTAATCTTCTATGTTTATTTCAACTTTACTTTGAATTCGATTTAATAATGACAATTTCCAATGTTTAAATTCTACAAATAATATAGTACTCAAATGCATAAACATGATAAGTGTCGGGGGACGGTTACTCGAGTTTTACAGGATTTCTCTCTACAGTAATTGATTTTTACTCCAAATTGAATTGACTAAAATGCTTCATGAAGAATAAGTTCTTTGAGTATCAGCAACCTTCTATTCGCGGAAAATATTTGGCCTGACTAGAATTGCCGGTTTGGCTTTAACTTATAACTCGAGTAAAGACGAAACAACTTTCGTATTTACGTATTTTTATCAATTATTGTTCATTGAACGGGAGTTGGTTTGTTTCCCTTGAAAAGTCAACTAATTTGCGATCAATGAAGAAAAAAAAAAAAAAAAAAAAAAGAAAAGAAAAAAAAAAAAAAAAAAAAACAATAATTACATGTTTTTAATTTTTCCTTTTACAATTAAATATTATTCTTCATGATGATTTAACTCCAGTCCCCGTTAAAACATTATTAACATTTTGCTTTCAAATTACTTCAAAACATCTTTCAAAATATAACTTACCAGTATGGATGCACACTTTTAAAATAATTCTACTTTAATTAAACTTAGGAGATAATATAATCAATTAATCAATACTGTTTAGGAATAAATTATTATAACTACCTTTGCACAATTGCGCAAGTAATAATAACTTGTATTCGCACTAAATGGATTTAAGTTCATACACATTATATATATATAAAAGTATATATTAAGTAGTATATGTATAAAAAGTATATATTAAGTATAAAAAAGTATATTTTAATCTATATAAAGTAGATACATTAATATATATTCAGTATATAAATATATTTTTAATAGATATTAAGTAATATAAAGTGTATTTTTAAAATAAGTATTTATTAAAAAAGTATATCTTTTATTAAAAAAGTATATCTTTTATTAAAAAAGTATATTGGTTACCATTTTAATTATCAAAATTTAAGTTATAATACTTTAATTCTAAAATTCAGAGAGAAATTTGGGCCTGTTTAAAAGAGGTCAATTTCATTGTCTGGTCTTATTAAGCTTAGTTTTAACAGTAAGTTAGGATCCACTTTCAACTTTATTCTGTATTTATTTTTCAAATATAACATAGATGAATATCCTTGTTCACACAAATAGGTTGTGCAAACGTCATTAAAGAGGCAATAAAAATTTTAAAAAATCTGAAAGGCTTTCAGATTTTATATTATGCCCGAAGGGGTTTTTTTTAACGTTTTGTGTGTTACTTTATTTATTAAATATCATGTTCTTAACCATAAAATTCAATTCAACAGCAATATTACAAAATATTTATAAGAGCATATCTTTAGAATTTCCGATACACAGTCTCGCGCTCTGGAGATAAATTTTTCCCCCGTACAGTGTTGCCATTGCTCGCTTTGAAATCTTTGAGTTTCTTAATCAAAAACTCAAAAGTGCTTTACAAAATAAGAAATAGATAATAAAACAAATTTCAAATATTGGGCTTCCTGATCCCATATTCGGGTAGAGATGTACGTTCTTCAGAATTTGATGGCTCTAGGTACCGTTGTTTTATCACAATGCGAGAAACATACATGCAATTTATGCATATTCTTCATTATTTAATTTCTTTAACTATATAATACAGAGTTTCAATATTTGGTGTATTCAATTTAAAAAGTGATTCTCCGTTTAAAGCGAATCGAATCCGTTTAAGCGAAAATGCCAAAACAAAATTAACAGCTCTTCTGATCTAACGGCCTTTGGGCTAATAACTTTATTTGAAATGCCTTTAAATTAATTTTTTCAGTTCAGCCGAAAATTAACAATGATATCATTTTTGAAATCTTCAGTTAGAATTTGATCACAGGAAACTTTAATCAGTTATTCCTTTTTTTTTCACGAGATAAAATATCAGGTGAATTATAACAATATGCATTTCTAACCCACTTTTCTTTTCATAATCCTCAGGAAAATACATGTTGAAATTATTTATCAACGAAAAACAATGATTAAAGTCTGATGCTAATTCTTTTATTTTCAAATTATTTTCAATTAGAAAAATTTTTTAAAAGTTGTAAAAAGATTAAAATATTGTTATACAGTTGTTTGATTATTAGCTCGAGTATTTTTATCATTGCAGTTATTTTATCTCTAACGGTAAACAAATAAACACTTTGTCCTTGTAATCCGTTTAACTTTCCAAAAATATCAGCTTAATATGATGCGCCAACCATAATTCACTAAATAAATATTTTTGCAATTCAAATTTTGAATTTCTGATCCAACAGGGGATTTAAAATTTTGCCTCTGGATAACCACCTTAATTCGGAATGTGTCAAAAGCGTTCCATGTTCACTGCCCCCTCTCTTGGGGTAAAATCATGAATATTCTTGAATTTTAAAGCTTGGCTTTTAATAAGATAACTAATTTTGACAGCTTGATCAGGTTATCGGGGATTGTTTTGGCTACTTAAGCTTCTCTATGAATAGAGCAGTGAGTAAATTTAGTTTCAGGTGTGCGACTTCCTTTATTTGAAAAATAACATCAGAATGTTTTCCTGTTAAAGCCCTAGCTACGTTACAGCATACAGCAATGTACTTATTTCGTTGAATATCATTCTCAGACAATTTTCTATTGTGAATTACTTTGAACATTTCGTTTGCAGTTAATTTATCATGAAGAGATTCACAAAATAAGTACTCTTCAGCAATTCGTTTATCTTCTTCGAAACGTATGTAAACTAATAACTGAACAAAATTTGATATATCAGTACTCTCATACAATTGCAATGCGAAATAGTTACTGTGTTTTATTTTTTTGAATAAGTGTCTCTTTTTTGGAATTTGGCATTTCATGAATTCGTCGACTTACTTTGCCATTTGATAACATAATATTATCAAGTTCTTTAGCCGCTTTTTCATTGAAAAATGCTAAAACTATAGCTTTACTGCTGGTAAAAGGGTTTCTCTAAAGGTGTGAGCCTACACAGTCCTGGCATTTCTTAGACTTACTAAGCAACTAGCTTCTAAAGCTTTTTGCACTTGAAGTAACAAGACCTTTTGCTACTCGCTTACTGTATTTGAACTCCGAGAATTTCCTCTTAAAGTGTACTTCAGATTTATCCTTTAAACTGACATGTTTAGATTCAAGATGTCTTTTAAGAAGAAACGATGGTTTCGTACTCAGATTGGATAACAGTTCACGGCAAACAAGACATTGAGGTTTGAGGGCCCATTTTATCCCCATAGAAAGTAAATCCAAATAACAAATAACCTTCATTATATTTTCTATAAACAATTTTTGGTACTTTTCCGTTTCGCCGGCGCAAATCTCGCCAAGCAGACTTTGTTGGCGACAACATACAGTATACACATAAAAAATGTTAATTCTAAGAATTTTTTTTTATTGTGAAGGCATAAACATTTTAATATGGTTTTAAAATTTTGTTAAAAAGCCAATAAATAAAGACAATAAATTTGTAAAAAGACATTAATTTAAGAATTTACTATGATTCATGGTTCAAATCCTGATTCGCCGGTTTCGTATCACGTGACCCCCAAGTGATCTCATCTCACGTAAACTACGCTACTAAAATTTAATTCGCTCAGTAATTAATCTACATTAATTTTAAGTTAAATCTTAATTTGGAATACAAGTTTAAAATGCAAGAATTATTTCAATTCGTACGAATAGCTTACTCAGAAATTATGTAAAACTGCAGTGCTTTACTTCGTTAAGTGCATTCTCATTAGAATTGATGAATTTAACACTTGATTTCGCTTCGGATGAGCGGTGTAATTGCGTTCTAATTGACTTAATTACCATGAATTGTCTTAGGGGATAAAATTTTAAATATCGTGTAAAAATTCTATGTTATTGTATGCCAGTATTGAAAGAAACAATCTGATAAGAAATGGCTTCAACTTGTTTTGAAACTGAGGCGTAAAAGGTTACCAGCGAAGATATTCCGTCTGGCATCAGTTAAACCATTATTGGCGACTTTATCGTTTGCGCCGGCAAAACGGAAAAGTACCCAATTTTTCTTTTCAATATTCTTTGTGCTAGTAGATGTCCTGGATCACCTATGAATCTTCACTTTTCCGCTTAGTCAATCCTATCCACTTTTTCCATTTTGAAAATCTAGGTTTGTTTTATTATTTTTTCACAAATATTTAAATGCACAATATGTTAGGAGGTCTTCAAAAACAAACGACGATATTCTGAAATCGCGTAGAAAAGAATACAGAGCAAGACAAAATACCTTCTGTTAGAGATAGCAAATCGAAGTGAAAAAATGATTTTAATTGAAAATAGAGCCATATGAGCCCGAAAATAGTGGCGATATTAAAGTGTAGTCATGCTAATAAATCAATCAACTCTGAAAGAATTAATGAGATACAATTATGTTTTTTATTGAAACTTATTTTTATTTCCTACTAAACACGACTTCCATTTTATCACTCCTTTTAAAAACAATATTTAAGAAAAAATTTCTTACGTATACAACTAAAAGAATATTTGTGAAAATACAAACGAATTATTTTGCTAAAGTCTACGAGCGGCTCAGGTTTAAGAAAGCTCAGATGCCATAAATTTATGAGTGTTGGAGAAAACACTTAAACAGGATATTGGAGGTTTTAATTTTTGAATTTAATGGTTAAAAATACTTTGTTTCTTTGAGTACCACTTATTTTTCTCTTGCTTACCATCAGTTGAGAATCGCTGCAATAGAGCATTTGCGGTCCCACATAGAAAACCAAATTCGTGCTGCCACGCTACCTCGTCGCAATATGCGGGAATTGCAGGACCAATTGGTGAGTGCTTGGTTTCAGATACCTCAGACTATCTATCAGCACCTTGTGAAGTCAATGCTACGCTGGGTGCTGGCAGTTTTGAGGGATTAAGGTGGTCCTACGTGTTATTAACAGGGTGGTCATAATGCAAAAGCCCTTCGGTGTATGTATTAAAGCAACCGCCTTAGTAGAAATCGCCAAATTTTCAGAATGTGCCAAAACTGGTAACCATACGCGTAACTATTCTTCCGGCTACCATCCACATAACAATCCTTCAGTCAAGCAACGACTCCATTTTGGTATGCGTTCTTTTTTGCTGTATTCAGAGTTCGAACGGTTTTTATAAGCTAATCGTGATATTGTTTGCCTTAAACTTAGTTTTCAAGTGTGAGTATATGGAATTTGCGAGCAATAGAAGGAACAGAGGTAAAATTTCTGCAAGAATATTATAGAAAGATTTGAAAAAGAATGTAAGTGCTTTAATTTTTTAATGTATCACGTAATCCGTATATAATAATTCAAATTTGTGTTTAAAATTGCTAGAGTGTGTTTTCTTTTCGTATGCTCATGATATTTACTAACTTACAATGAATATCAATAATTTGAGAATCTTTAAAAAAAGGGGGGGGGGAATTTCCAACTTGTACACGATAAGTAATTTTTATGTTTTCACCAAGATTGTTGCGTGAATATGTAAGTTACTAAAAATTTTTTAATTTTCGACAAATAACGGAATCTTGCTTTTAATGGTGTCTTCCGTCTCCTATACTTAATATGTAGGAAAGTTTCATGCTTGTTATGAAAAAATAAAGTTATAAAAAGTTTGACTGGTACGACAAAAATTGACCGAGATATTTAATTTCAAAATTTAAGATTTTGGATGTGATTTTCGATTTGCCTTTGGGGATTGATTAAGTTAGAATAATACGAGGAAATAAGTTTAGATGCAGGAAAAAGTGTGTGTAATTTAATAGGCCGCGTAAAAACGTCGCTTCGGATTTTTTTTACGAGTATTTTGAAAAAATAATTAATATTTAAGACCTGCCCTCTTCAGAACATCAAACAGTGAATTATTTTCAAAGTTATGCTATCCTATTATCAAAAAAGTTATGTTGATTGACGCGACATGATCAGCTGAATACGCTAGATAAAACAGTAGCAGGTTAGAACAATTATTTGAAGTTTATACCCATATAACATTCTAAACAGAGCTGCAGGGACAAAAATCGACGGAAGCCTATCTAAGAAACTCAAAAACGAACCAGATCGAATACTGATAGTTTATTAAGTAAGCAGGTGTCGGTTCCTTCAAAATTTCATAAGAACGACTAGCCCAACTTTGGCGACCGGAAATGGACACGTTCCATTTTCTGAAGGAAATTGAGTCGTTAATCCACAAGCAGCCAGCTTGTTTAGTCGCAGTAAAATGAACAAGGCCAAACTATTACCTTTAAGGCTGTTACCACTCAGTCACTGGTAGGCAAAGTGTGCCCCACTCTGAAATTAATTCAAAGAAACCATTCGCTTAACTAAGTGAATTTACTCGCGATTCCCGAAAATGGCGTTGTAGCTCTTTTATGTTTCATAGAAAGCTCTTGTTGAAAGCGTAGCAGGATATGAGAGATCAGCAGTCTGATTCGCGCAGGGGGGGGGGGGAGCGCGTATCCTCCCATGTTAAAAGTGATTCTTTTTCATTTCCTAGATTTTTGAAAAATTTTTACTCTAGATTTTTTATAGTTAGATCTGTCTAGCAGGAAGGTTTTAGGTGATTTCGAAACTACAATTGAAAGGAAGTAAGTTCAGCGAGTTAATTTAATTCAGTCGATTTTTCCGATCTCACGACTTATTCGATTATTTTTGCTGTTCGTTCCAACCTTGCTTAACAATTATGATCGCACTGTTCATTCGATTCTCTTCGTTCTTCGCTAACCGCTCTTGATTTTCCCCATGGTTTCTGATATTTTTTTTTTATTAAGGTTATTGTTACTGAGCGATGAGTCATTAAGAACCAATTTATTCCATTGAAAGAATGCTTCTAATCCGGTCCCCAAAAATAACGGTTTTGCCCATTTCTAGTAATAATGCAGCATACAGAAATTGCGTAAGATTTTCGTAATGAGCAACACAAAGATCTTTTTTAACATTTACTATTTCGAAGACGGTAAATTAAATGTACATTAAGTAACATTTGGCGAAAATCCATTCTACCTCAAATAAAAGTATAAATTATACACCTACTTCCTCTTCGTTAATCTAGATCAGAATTTCTTAAACTGCGGGTATTTATAAGTATTTCTTTAACTTATTATAATAATTTTACAATTATCAAATATTTTCACACAATGTATCTGAAAATAGATAAAGATAAGACAATACAGACAAAGAAAAAAACGAAAACGATTCGACGCATTAGTTTTATAATATAAACGTTGTGTTTCTTTGCTTTGCAAGTGATGCTATCATTTCGTCTGTTACTTAATTAAAATTGTCACATTGTTCTATGTCTTATAAATAGAAATTAAAGTTAATGACCTAAAACTGTAACAATATATTACAGTACAAGTGAAAAAATTAACAGTTTCACTCACGTGTGTGTCGGATTTGCGCAATACTTATGGGGGTCCCACAAAAGTTTTTTAAATATTATGGGGTCCTGGGGGTTGCGAAAAAAATCTCAGTTATAAAAAGGGGTTGCCACTGAAAAAATGTTTAAGAAATCCTGATCTAGATAATTTAAAATTTTATTACCATTTTACCTCAAATAAAAGTAAAACTTTGAACATGGATAATAATTTTTGAAGAATAGAAAATTTACCAACAAGTATTTTGACTTATTTTATTGCTCTTTTTATCTCTCCTTTATATAATTTCAAATTTTTCTGAAATTTTTTATGTATAGCGAAACTCGAAAATTGAGCATGCAGCACTTACATACGCTGTAGAAACCAAATGCCGATTAATTGTCATGTTTTTTCTTTAATTTTAAGGACAATAGAAAATTATATGAAATTTTTATATTTTAAAAAACATTTAATAATTGAATGTTTTATAAAATATAAAATCTTGAATACTTTTTAGTTTTCATTAAAATAATTGAGATCAATAAATTATTGCCACATACATATTTTAACATCTGCTTAGAACCAAAATTTGCAAGAAAAGATCACAGACAAAATTGAAAATAAAAACCATTCGTTTATTTTATCACTTAATCTACATTAAAACATATAAAAGATAAAATTTCTGCATTACGGTATCAAATCCCCTGCCCGTGGAGAAATAGCGCTGTAATGCTTTGGGGGAAAACTGCGCTGTTGATTTTAAAAGGATTCATTGCATATTCATTTTAAAAGTAATTTTCCCTTATGCAAAAGATGCAGAGAAAGGAATTAAAAACAAAGTTTCTTCTGCTTTTTAGATTAAGTAACTTCTGAGAAAAGTAAATCTTCTAGAAACTAAATGTTGAACGAAACGCAAAGCACTGTTCATCTAAAGGCAACCTGCAGAAACTGAGAAAGAATGAAATAAATCAGGTGCAAATGGCACCATTTTTTAAATTCTTCTTATGGCTTATGATGTAAAGGTATTCTCACAAGAAAAATCCTTTGCGCATTACAATAGTGCAGAAAAATCTCGCTGAAGTTTCTCTTTATGGGAAAAAATGAGCCGAAGGAGTTTGCGTATTCATTTTTTTCTAGCATTCTCTAGCTGTCGTTTCAAAATTGAATTATTTTTCTTAAAATAGGAAAGGAAAAAAGGGGGAAATCCATTTTACGGCTAATCTTTGGAATATGGTAACAGGTAGTTTGGCGACACTTTGGTAAGGCGATAAAGGTTACTAGCTAGGACTTTAGCAGTGTACTTGGATAATCAAGGTGTGCCAATGCCATTTTTGCAATTCTGGGATGTTGTTTTTAACTGAAAATAGGTCGACGTGTACATGGATTCCGTGTATGTGCAATTCTTAAAAACACGGCAAGCAGTTTACGATTCTGCACTTTCTCCCAATTTCGCACCTAATCTTAGTCATGATTAAGCATTTTTGTTCCATAAAAGTTCTAGTATAAGCGTAATTCGGCTAGCAGATTGTTGGAAAAAATATTGAGTTAAAAAAAAAATGCTTTTACTTCTTGAAAACAAAATGGCGTCCAAAACAAAACTAGCAGGTTGCTGTAGCAGGGTTGGTCGCCAAAGTTTCGCCAAAAATCGCCAAGTTACCATAATCCGCAGATTAACCCATTTTACCTCAAAGGTTCCCATAATAAAGGTATTTCTCACAAGCTAGAGAAATAGCTGGTTAATCTGTCGCTAAGGAACCAAAAGACTGTTTAACTCTTTGAATACGAATTAAAAACATTTTTTTTACCTCGTTTTCTATCCAAGTGTTCAAATTATATCACAAATAAGGTAAATTTAGCATTTGGGATTTTTTTGGCAAACGGCTGTCAAGCCAGAGGCTGGAACACGTATATCCCAGCCGTAGTTAATGATGGGATATATATGTCCCACACGTAGCGATCAACTTATACTATAAGCACACCTATTATTCTGGAAAATTTTATCATATGAAATAGATTTACATCAGATGGTACAGGGTAAAGCATTCTTTGCATAAGCTGAACTCTGTATCCCGAAGTCCTCGTCAAAGTTCCCAAAGTCCCTAAACCCTGGTGGAATAGTGATAGTCATGAAACTTCGAGAGAGCAAAAGAAAGCATGGCGTATCTTTCGTCGATATCCAACACTGGAATATCTTCTGGCCTTTAAAAAGCTAAGGCGAATGCAAGAAAAGTGAGGCGGCAAAGTCAGAGAAAATCATAGGCAGCCTACGTGTCCACTATTACCTCCTCAATGTCTAGCAAACATGTTTGGGAAAATGTCCGCAAAAACTCTGGACTATGTAATGATTATTCCTTTTCTGTTCTAGAAAAATATGGAAAGTAGATAAGTACTAGAGAAGAAATAGCCGATGCTTTAGATGATGCATTTGCTGCTGTATCTGGCAATATCTGTATCCACAAAGATGGGCTTGGAAAGGATTCAAATCGACTTTTACCATCCTAATGCAGAATATTTTAATAATAAAGATCTCACCATGTTTGAATTAAGAAGTGTAATCTCTCGCACAGATAGGACCTGCTCTGGTCCTGATGGCATAAGTTATTTGATGATAAAGCATCTGCCCTATGAATCTCTATTGGTCCTTTCTCGCTCTTTATAATAAAATATGGAAGGAACAAATTTTTCCAACTGCCTGGTGCAGGGCTTTTGTAATCCCTATAGCAAAACCCGACAAGGATCCGAAAAATCCTTTAAATTATAGCCCCATGGCGCTCACTAGCTGCCTTTGCAAGATCATGGAAAAAATGGTAAATCACCGTCTCACCTACCATCTGGAGACTAATCATTGCCTATCGCCTTACCGAAGTGGTTTCCGTAAGGGAAGATCACCACTTGACAATGTCCTGTTT